CAATTTGACTACGGTCAACAGGGGTATGTAATTTGGGGCGTGCCTAAGCTAGCCATTATTTTTAATTTAAAGTACTTTACCAAACATTTTTAGTTTAAGCACCACAAATGCAACAGACCAACACCCAACCAGACAAAGTCAACAGTCAACACTCTTATTTGCCAAACAATTTAAAGCGACTAACCGCAAACAACAAAATTAGCTACAAAATGTAATCAAAAGACCCCGAGGCGCCAAAAACAACAACAAAAATAGCAACAACAACCAGAATGACATGTAATTACATGGAGCCAACTGCGAAAGTGACAACAACTGACACAGATACACACACACACACACACACACACACAGACAGACTCACACACATCAATCGAGAAGGTAGCACCGAAAATCGAATTGAAAATTAATTCGAAATTAATTTTAAATGCACAAAAGCGATCAAATTTTGCGCAATGTTCGTGACACACACAAACTGACTGACTATGTGGAAGGGGTGAGCGAAGGGAAGAGGGTTTGTAGTTTTTGACCCGCAAATGTCTGCAACACTTGTAATCAAATAAACAGACAGACAAGCCTGTCAATTGAAAATTGTAGGCTTCAGCACAGCAAAAGTGGCAGAAAAAAAATACTTGAAAATGCATTACGACTGTTCGAATTATTTATACCCTATTATGTGAAGTTCTTAGAAGACATTTAATATTACTTTGTATGGCATACTTTTGGCCATGTTAAGTTTGACTCGAGTTCTAGTCTTCTTTTATTTTTAACAGACTCTGCAAAGTATGCAATGAAAACAACTAAGAATACCGCAGTCAAGCGAACCCAATTGTTGAACATATTATTTAGTATATACATTCATACACATGAAATAAATTTAATTTCCACTTGGCATACAGCAATTTCCCTTCAGGATTTGAAGTCGCTAGCTCAGATCCTTTTGATCATACAGACTGACAGACTGACTTAGCTAGATTGACTACATAGATCGATTATATAACAATTAATAATTAACTTGTTTTACTTATTAAAAACACATTTCTAAATGACGTGTCTACATTTGCATGTGATCTTTGTACATGATTTACTTTCAACAGATGCTTCTTTGCAGTGGATCTCAATTAAATTCAGAGCATACTCAATTAGAACAAAAAGGGATCCTTCAAACTATTGTTAACAGAGGCAAAACACACACGAAGCACGGCATACAGAACTAGAATGCACCTCTAGTCTCCCCCAACTGGCCGTCGTGCATTTTCATTAGCCCACTTGTGAGCCAAGTACTCTCTACGAGTTTCAGACCCGGTACCACAGGCGCCTGAGTGGGTGCCATGTGCCCAAAAGCAATTATGGCAAACGCTTGCTGGAGTGCTGGGGGGGACAAGAGGGCAGCTGGCTCATAGTTTGTCAGCCAGTCAGCTGGTCATTGTGGCTCAAAATCCAATTACAATGTGTTGAATGCAGCGACTGAGAAACACTGAGCCCCGGCGATGAAGTCACCAACTGTGCCACGGAGCAGCTGAAGGTGAGTGGATTTCGCTAGCTTCGTTTGACAGTTTGGATTAGCGGGATATGCGGGCGTGGGATGCAGTCGCCGCAAATTACAACAAGATTGTATATCTTTGGCCATATTGAATAAGTCTTATCGGGTATTGTCAGGCCAATCGCCATATGGACACAAAATCAGCGAGAACAGACGAAATTTTTGTCAACTGATAAGACTTCTCGATATGAAAAAGTCGACAGCTATCAATGCGGTTATAAAAATAATTATCATTAAAGAGATAAAGAGTGGGACAAGGAGAGAGAGAGAGAGGAGACAGACAGACAGAGAGAGAGTGTGAAAAACTAACAGAGGCAGACAAAGGAATTGTAATTATGAAATTCAGTGGAGCGTAAACACATTTTCCTTTTATCAGCACGAAATTCCAGAAATATATAAAAATGAATGAGAAAAAAGCACTGCCTGAAATGCATATTTGTGTTGATATGTTAAGTATTTATTGGTAAATAATAAAGGCAAAAGAATAAATGCGCCTATAGACATATTAATTAAATTGCACACATGCACAATATTGTTAAATAATATAAAACGAAATCTTGTTAAATATTTAAACTCAAAGCTTATTGAAAGCAAATCAATTATATAGACATGCAGACCTTTTTAGTTAATTATTCGATTCAGAACTGCTTTTATTATTTTTATCCATTCTTGGCTGTTGGCACGATTTTTAATCAAATTTAAATATTCTCGACAAAGCCACAAATCGATCTTTGGAAACAGAAAATTAAAACCTATCAAATAAACATCGAAATTGCTTATTTGCTAAGCAGCCAAAATATTTAACACTAAAAGCAATGTAGCATAAATACCTTCCAATCAATACAGTGGGGAATGTTTCCAGACTCGAAGCTTAAGAAAAACATTACTCCTTTGCTGTATCTATTAACTTTCAATTCCATCAGATCAGATTCCAAAATTTATAATGCATAATATTTTGAGCATAGCGCCAATAGAATAGTCGAGTTTGCTGCTTAAATTGAATGTGAACGTGTCCCACTGTATTATATGCAAATGCAATTCAGTTGCTGTCAAAATTTCATTAATATTTGCAAAGGATATGCTGAAAACCCCAATCAAACTCAGTCCAGTACCGAACCACGAACAAATCGAACCAATCGAACCAAATGCATTTGGGTATGCAAATTGTTTGTGGCATGGCTCACTCGCACCTTTATGCAATTCAGGTGCCAATATTTGTCAGTTTTTGTTTAATTAAAACATTCTGCCAATATTTTATTTGTCCTTCCCCAATCCACCCCCCGACGCCCAGCTATGTGGTTTGTTTTTATGACCAAAATGCAAATGGGTCGTTTGCACAGGTAACGCAAATCCAATGCACATGAAATATTTAAGCCAAACAATTATGAAAGAGCGAGAAAGATAGACTTCTGTGGTTTGCGCACACCAGTCGTATACGTGTTGGAATTGGATATATTTGGTTGGTTGTACCAAAATTTGCATATTTTGTAAAAAAAATTTTGTTTATTTATGTAATGTTTAGTTTCAGTGCTCGATGCGCGGTTAAATAAAAATAATTTCCTATATATGGTGAAATAAAGTTTGCATATTTTTGATTATAATTTACAAAATAGTCGACTATGCAACCATATTTTGACTATTTGGTTTTACATTAAAATCAAATGTAAAATTCATTTTCTGATTCCAAAACATGTGGCAATATTGAATAAATACTGTATACATTAGTAATGCAAATGCAAATGCATATGAAAAACCAAATGGATATTAAAAACAAATACTAAAAACTGTTGTTATGTTGATGAAATTTGCAAATAAATAAACGTGCTTGCTATTTACATCTTCAAATTGAGGATATGGAAATAGCTTTCATCTATTTCAGGTACGTTTTCAAATATCAAACTGAAAACATGCAAATAAGCGGATTGTAAATGATGCCGAGTTTACATTAAATAAGCTGAATAGTTAAAAAAAAAAAATGTTAAGCAAAGTGTGTTCATGAAATATTTGAAAATAAACGCTCCCGTTATTCAAATTTTAAATTGAGAAAATGGATAAAGTTTTCATGTATTTCACACGTACCAAGTTACCCTTTATTTTTCACATCTCAAACTAAAAGCATGCACAGACGGAGTGTAAATGAGCCCACTTTACATATTTAAAATCCATCCATATTCCCAGCAAATAAGTTAAGCAGTTCAACAGTTACTCCCACAAATTGCATTCGCTCCGAATGAATAGGGGCCACTAATAACTAGACCCTGCAGACCAACAAAACTGTTGCCAAAAAAGGGGGGCAGCACTTCAGTTTCAGTTGGGCCATTCAGTCCATAAAGTCCATTAGGGGCATTTTGCATGTACTGAATGCAAACAAAATGCAAACCAAGGCAAAGGGACAGCGAGCTCCAAATTGTGGTTAATGGCCACCAACATGGCTGGAGAGGGTAGAGAGGTGAGCACATATTGTGACCAATAATTCGAAGCGCCCGACTAACAGTCCAACAGCTTAGAGACGAGAGTTGTCAAAAATCAGCTAAGCAGACGGGTCCTCGGGGTAGGGGGAAAACGCATTGACCACAGAAAAACTAGCATCGAGCACCGCTGGGCAAACAATAGTCCAAGCCCACATTTCGCATTTCTCTGGATTCAATTTGTGAATTTGCCATGCTTTTCAATTTAATGACTAGCGGCAGGTAAATCGCTAAAGCGCAGTAAAATACCGAACAAAATTGTGGAAGAAATTGAAATTCGTTTGGAATTTCGCTAGTATGCAAAATCGAGTACTTCACGTTTTTGCATTCTGTTTTAAGTGCTTGTTAAATTGACAAATTTAAGGTTCTCTACTGGGCAAGCACATTCTCGAAAAATAATATAAGACTAGTGCTGCAAAGTTATCCTTTATAAAAACAACGCGCCAAAGTAAAAGTCAAATGATCAAAGGAATCGAGGGGAATCGAAGGGGCTATCACAATATTGAGAATTTGCGTATTATGAGGCAGCCCTATTATTATTTTGACTCCAACTGGATGCTTTAATAACATGGCTATGTAAATTAAGAGCTTATCGATGTAAACAATACTCTGAAAATACATATTACGAATATACTTCAACTAAATTGGCTACATTGGTATGAACTCTAAGGAAATAGCAAGCCCTAAATAAATATAAGTATAGAAATGGGGTAGCGGGAGAGTGCACAAAATGTATCTACGAGTAACACATATCTGGGCACTCTTTCAACTTTCTTATGATTATAAAATGATAAATTTAAAACTGATTTAATGTCTGTAAAGCCAATAGCTCAAAATAAAGTATGTAAAGTAATGTAATTGGAGTTACTAAATTACTAATCAAGTCTTGCAAGCTTAAATTCAGAAAGTAGAAAGAGCTAAACAATATGGCTCTAAAGGGCAGTTTCATTCCCTGATTGGCTAATCGAAGTCTGAAAGTGACAAGCACTCACCTGTATCGTGTTCTCTATCGGGCGACACCATTGCCACATTCTCCACATGCTCCTCATCATCGTCAGCAACAGCAACTCCACTTAGGCTATTGCAGTTGTTGTTGTTGTTATTGTTGTTGCTGTTGTTGTTGCTGTTGTTGTTGCTGTTGTTCCCGGCGCTGTCACAGCCATTCCCATTGATGACCTCGATGACACTTTTGACCGAATCGAGTGATGACGTTGCTGATACCAAAATTGGCGTTGTTACTGGCGTCGCCGCTAACGATGACGATGACGACGCTGTTGATGTCATCGATGAGCTGGCACTCAGAACTATGCCATTTACTTGCCCCTCCGCGCTGGCCAAAGCACCATCCACCGCTCGCTGCTCCTCCTCATTCGGGAGCTTATGGCTCTCAAAGTGCAACTCCGTTTGCAGCAGGTCAACAGCTTGGGCGACAAGATTTTCATCATTGGAAGCAGCTGATGTCACATTAGGCAGATCAACGCTGGCCAGCGTAATAATAGGACTGACTTCCGTCCGCTCCACACCCACAATGATGCGCTCAAGAGGTGTGGGTGCGCTCAGCTCCAGGCTGCTGCGACGCTGTGTGGGCTTCGGCTTGCCACCCAATCCCACCTCGCTGCGCTTGCTGGGCACCGGTGGTGGAGCTGTTTTCGGTTTCACCAAAACGGGCGACATTTTTGGCTTATTGCTGGGCAGCGGCGGTTTCGGTATCGATTTCGGTTTCGGTTTGAGCACTGCCTTCACTTCCTTCCGCTTTGATGAATCTATGATGTTTTTGTGTAGCACATAGCCCAGATCGTCCTCGACAGATGGCAAAGTAACATCGACTTTAGCAGGAACAGTTTCCTGCACTGCTTGCTGCTCTACTTCCGTGTCAATAATCTGCACTGCTTGTTGCTCTACTTCAGCATCAAGCTTCTGCTCTGCTTGCTGCTTTACTTCATCCTCAATCATCTGTACTGCTTGCTTATTCTCTTCAGGGTCAACCAGCTGCATTGGTTGCTGCTTCACTTCAGCCTCAACCATCTGCTCTGCCAGCTTCTCCACTGAAGACTCAACTAGCTGCTCTGCCGACTCTTCCACTTCAGCTTCGAGCAATGCATGATCCTCGACCTGTTCGAAGGCGCTCAGATCGAAGCCTTGCTCGTCATCCGCCAGCTCCAGATTGTAGAGTTTCTCTGTTTCCTTCTTGACTTTTTGATAGCTCTCGATAATTTTTTGCGCCTCCTGTTCGAGGCGACGCTCCTCGTCGGTTTTCTTCAGCAGCTTGGCGCCCTTCTTACAGGCAGTCTCTTTGCTCTGCTCCAACCGCTTGGTCACCTGCTTTTCACCATCTTTGGTCACAGTCAGCGTTTCACTGAGCTCCCGCTGTAGGGTGGGCGCAGCGTTGTCGTCCACTGGCTGATCATTGAGCAACTGCTGACCCTCCAGATAGGTTTGCTGTTCGGTCTGCTCGCATTCGGTGTAGCTGATTCCGCCGTTCTCGGATAGCTGCAGCTGCTTGCCACATTCGGATAAGGTCAGAGTACCCGTTTCAATACTCTGTTTATCCTGTGGGTTGTCCAGACGCTCCGTTAGACGCGTCTCCGCCGAGACGACGGTGGCAGTCAACGGCTGCAGCTGCTCGACATCGTCTAGGTCGAGCAGATTGTCGTTGCTGCTGATCTTCTTGAAGCGCGCACTGCTTGACACGGACTCGGCGCTCGTCAACAGCTTCTCCTCACCTGTTACTGCATCCTTTGTCCTCAGCTCGCTCAGCGTCTGCTGCTCGCTAACAACACGTCGCTCCTCGCGAATCGTTGTTGTTGTTGCTGGTGGTATCGTTGCCTCCTCACGCTCCTCATACGGTTGCAGCTTGAAGGCAACGTCAGCGGAGGGACTCATAAAGCTCGAAGAGGAGCTGCTGCTACTGCTGCTGCTGCTGCAAGTGGAGCTGCTTGTCTTTGTGGTAACCACTTTGGTGGTAACTGTGCGGTGGGTTTTAGTGGAGCCCTGTTGGCTGCATTCGCTGGTTTCTTCTTGGGTGCTTTTACTGCTGGTTTTCTCCTGACTGTGGTTCGTTGTGCTGATCTCTACAAGTGGGTCAGATGTTTGGCCAGTCTTATCGCCCTCGGGTGCGTCATGGGCAACAATCTTATCATCGCTTTTAATTTGGACTTCCATTTTTGCTGGCACCTTCGGTGGCTGCAACTTCTTCAACTCGTCCACAAACGCACTGTACGAAGACACAACAAATAATGTCACATTGAGTAATTATTATGATTGCCACTCTTATCAAAATGTGTGTGTACTATGTATGTTAATTGATTTTGTCTCCCACCTGTTGCTCTACAGCAAACGGAAATTTGCCCGTCAGCTGCGAAAAAAATAACTAAAAGCACCGATACCTTTGCCTTTCGCCTCGAAAATAGTACTAATTGGCCCAAACGTACGTTGAATGGCTTTTACCATTACTTGTTATCAGCTGAACCGGTGCGCATACACAATATTCATGGTGTTATCAGTGCGCTTGGCGGTGTTAGTAAATACAGCGGTATTTCACCTTATCAGTCTATGAACGGTGGTAGCCCCCCTAGCCCTAATCCTATATGTGTGAAAGTTTCTATTATTACTCTATCCATTATACATTCGGCAAATATTTACACATTTCTATTATTTGCAATAATAAAAAGACTACCAGCCGTGCCTATATAAAATGACTAGCATATGATGAATTGCGTAAGGTTCTGCTTCCAGCGACAAACAATCGATTCTACTGTAATAAATCGATCGAGATTCGAACACTTAGCGTAAAATAATGTAGTTGTTATATAGCATTGCCCAGCTCTGCTCTGCCGGCAGTATAAATATCAGCCGATCATTGATCATTATTTATATTCGAACCAAGGAATAAGAGGAATGCCCCATTTGACATTTGACATGAACTACCATCTTCCTTAGCAACTTTCAGTTTTGCTTATGTGGTTCTATAGAATTTAATCAAAATGAAATATAGCAGGTTTCAACTATATTTGGCTGACAGCTGCCAGATATTGGTAAGCTGGCTACTTATGAAATTTATAATGGAACGACGATCAGCAAATGTAATCATGTGGAAATGTTATGTTTGATTCTGACTATTCCGATCAAGTTCCGATTGAACATTTCCAAATTGTGTAAATTACGTGGAAAACTTCTTAATGGAACACAATGGTAATTTTAAATAAACCGTAAAGAAAAATATTCAATAAGCAATTAAATCAGAATTGACAGCTTTGCAGCATTCTAGTTTGCGAGGGAGCACTGTACTTGATATGTGCTGCTATGAGAATTATCTGTCTGAACATTAAAATCAAAATCCCAAAGAAATAATCTAATCTACATCCATTTAAGGTAGCTCATATATTTTGAGTCAGCGTTTTTATTTACTTCTGACGTCTGCATCAAAACTTTTTATACTTCCGATTTCTCCCACAACTGAATCTATTTGTTCTTTCCCAAACAATGCTAATACTCAACCAATTAATCTTGAATACACTCTTAACTCACCCATTTGTCAGCGATTGTGGCTCCAGCGAGGAGAACTCTTCTTCAACTTCGCCAATGGTGGGCAGCATATTCGAATGCCAATACATGTTAAAGTAAGCCTCCGAGGGACCGGGCCCATTGATGAGCTCTGGCGGTCCTAGCTTTTCGCCATCCTCACAGATGTACTCTCGTTCAGCGGCATCGACATCATCCTGTTCGGTGTCATCGGCATCGCTGCTGGAGCTTGAATAGCAGGTGTTGCTCTGATTATCGTCCATGATTTTTGTGCACTTGCCAACAACCAAGGGTGGCGGGGATTCCCGAGCCAGATCCGTTGCCTCCGCAGCCGCAGCTGCGAGCAGAGCACCGATATCTCGGTGGACTTTGGGAGTGCTCTCCTGTATCTCGACTGTCTCCTGCTTATGCACCAGATCGAACAGACTGGGCAACTTGTCCTCATCCTGTGCCTTGCTCTCATACGTTTGTATCTTGAAGCGGATCTCTCGACTGCTGGTCGGTGAGGGTGTCATGTTCACAGGCGTGCTCGGCGGAGTTCCAGTGACAGCTGACTGCTTGAAGGTCTGCATACTCAGCTTGGGCTGCTGTTGAGGCGGCGTCGTTGGCAACGTCTGCAACTTGGGGATTTGCGTCTTCTGCAGCGACTGAACACGCTCCGGAGGCTTCGGTTTGGGTCCCTTGGGAGAACGTCCGTTGCTGCCGTTGCTGCATATGGAGTTGAGCGACTCTGTTGAGTTGGAGCTGCTCCTGGAGCTGGTGTTGAGCAGCACGGGTATGTAGGTGCGTTCTGGGGTCGTTCTAGCTGGTGCCTCGGCTGAGTTGGCACGCTGGAGGGGCGCTCTCGGATACCCTGGACTGGGACTAGATTCCTTGGACTTGCTGCGATAGAATCCCAATTTCAGATCCGTTTCAGACTTTTGCTTTTGCAGCAGGCGAGGAATGTTGGAGCTGGCCGATATGATTGACTTATTAGCTGGCGGCGACTTCTGAACGAGAGTTGTAACAATGGGTATACGAGATTTCAGCTGCGGTGCCTGTTGCTTAATCGGCTGAAGACGCAGCTTAATCTCGCCTTCGGTTTTGGCGCGTGAGAAACCAGGACTCAACAGCTTGGCCTTGGGTATCTTGGTGCCGTAATCCCTAATCTCCTTGATCGTCTCATTTGTGGGCGTTTTCGGTGACTCAATCTCACTGGGTATTCTGGGTGGCGCCACCTCAATGGGCAACTTACTCGGCGTGGCAATCTTGCGGGGCATGGGTATAATTGAACGCTTCTTGGGCTCGACGGTCGCAAGCAGGACACGCGGTTTGGGGGTGGGCGTGCCCAGCGGACTCTTCAGCTCCACATTCTCATAGACATTGACTTTCTCCGTTTTGAACTCGACATTCTCATAGTTGTTGCCTGGTATGAGCAGCTTGGGCTGACTGATCTGAGGCTGTTCCAGCTGAAATTCCTGCTCGAGCAGGGTAAATGGCTGCACGAGCTTTGCCAGCTCGGGTGCGTTCAGATTACTGGCCAGCTCCGTGTCCGAGGAGTAATTCGAGCCCATGGAGAGCTTATCAATGACTGTGGAAATGGTGCTCGCTGTGTCGTCCGATTCGGAGCCAGCCTTGAGGGATTCGGCAAACAGATTGATATAGTACTCGGCATCTGGTGGCGGTGTCAATGGCTTCTCCACAACGAGCTGCACGGTGGAGGGTGCTCCCTCTCTGGAATTCTGACGCTTGACCAGCTTGCGCGGCGGCACTGGAGGCGGCGGTGGTGGTTGTGCGTTCAGTGAGATGGTCAGCTCGGTGAGCTCGGTCAGCTGCTGCTGCTCCTCCTCGCTGGGCGGCTTTCGCCCATGGCCGTTGCGCACAATCAGCTTGATGGCCACATTATCCTTCAAGCAGCGCACGCAATCGATGCGTGTCATTTGGTCAACTTGCCTGCCATCGATGCTCAGTATTTCGTCGCCTTCGCGCAGATGACCCCAGCTGGTGGCCACCTTGGAGGCGGGACTGTCGGCGGCGCAGGATTGTATATATAATTTCTGGACCAGCTCAGCGTTGCGTGTGCCGCCCTGGAACTTGAGGCCAAAACCCAAACGTTCACCTGGCAGACGATATACAGTGACGTGCTCCGTGCCGCCGTCTGCCTCTGGCTGCTGATCCTGTTGATCCTGTTGCCGTTGCTGGAGTAGCTGCTGCTGCTCGTTGATGGTGAGCACGGTGATGAATGAGGAGTCTTCGGCCACCGAGCTTTGCCGTTTGACTAGCTTCTTCAAGTGGTTTGTGTCTTTGGTGGACGATGTGGGATCGTCAACTTCAACAACGGTTATGTAGTCATCGTCCGATGCTGTTGGGTTTGTGTCATTGCTTTGCGACATGGTCGTTGATGTTGATGTTGATGTTGCGGACATGCTGGTTGTGGAAATGCCTTAAGCATGTGACGCTGCTGATCGTCTGCTGTAATGCACTGGTTTGGGCATGCGCTAAGAAACGTTAGTGAGTTTTGTGTTTGGTGGTTGGTTGCCTGAGCTACACTTGATTTTGTGAACTTCGTTTGTGCGGTTGTTGTCCGAGCTGAGTTTGGTAACTAATTTGAGATTTGTGCTGTAAAAAATAAGGAAAATTGTTTTATAAATGAATATATTCATGCATTATATACGAATTACTTATTAGATATGCGTATTTTATTAAATCACACAGCTTATAAATTAATTGAAACGTACATAACCATATAATTATTAACATTCAATTCACCCCACATTTATCACTTGGGTTTTGTGTTCATGCAGCCATGCAGCTAGCCATAAACAAGCAAAGACAAAGGCGATTAACTTGTTTCACGAACTTTCAAATGCATTTCATGTCAACACCAAAATCCCACACTAACTTGCCAAAAACTATCCACAGCTCACAACTCCACTCCCCGCCATCAAAGTTATTTCCTTCCTGCGCACGACATAAGACAGCAGCAGCAACAACAACAACAACAACAAAAATAGCAACAGCAAATGGCAAAAACACCAACTGCCAACTTTTTGCTACCGCAACTTCAAATGCGCGTCGAAAAAAAACTAAAAGCTTGGGGCCAACAATTTATGTCAACTTTCTTTTTTATCAAACAAAAAGAAAGAACTAAAGGAAAATAATATAATAAAAAAACAAAATACATATAAAAATTCCAAAGATTTTTCAAAGCAACCGCAAAATCTGGCAACGACTCCCACACGAAAAGTTGCCTAGTCAGGTGGGTTGGGCCGAAGATGCTGCGATTCAACAGATGATTTAGCAACGGGTTTTTCATTTTGCACGTTTTGCGCCCAAGCTGCCGCATGCCACAAGAAAGTTGCCAACTTGCCAAATCATGTTGCGGTTCCTCTTCTTTGGCCGGGCACCAAACACACATTTTCGGGCGGGTTATCGAAAATAACTCATTCCGACAAGCCGGCCAAACAGGTGACCAAACCAAACAGCGGCAATTCCGACACCAGTCGGTTCAGTTCTTAAACTTGTTTCAATTTTATGTTCAATTTCAGTTACCCTACATTTGTGGGGACATTTTCAATTTAAAGCGTTTATAGTCACGATGGTCCACACAGCTGCAAACTATTTCATTCAATTGAAGCTTTACAAAAGTCTGTAAGGGACGGCTTAACAAATAACTCAAATGTCTTCTTACGAGAGCAAGTCAAATGCACAATCCTTAAGCATTTCACTTATCTGACGGACTTTATTGAAATCTATTTTTAAAAAAATTAAAAAACATGAAAATAATTACAATTACTGAACAATTTAAATTGTCTTAAAGAAATGTATAACTCATAATAACACTTTATTTATGAATGTCGACAAATCAGTCGACACGAAAATACAAATACAAAAAGGAAAATATAATTAAATTCAAATCAATAAAATTGCCAAACAAGCTTATATTTATACAGATTGAAATTTTGATTTTAACTGGAAAATTGGATATAGTATATGATCAGGGAAATCATCCACACTTATTAATAAGAGAATATTTAATATGGCAATAACTCGGGAAAATCATCTAAAAAGTTCAATAAGAGAAGAGCGATGAAATATTTAATGAATGTGACATTTATAACCTTCGACATACTTGGGTTTAAAAAACGGCTAATTAAAATCAATATTTTTCAATACCTGCTCAATTTTTATACTCTCTGTTTACAAATGGGTGTAAAACTAAAAATAAAGGAGGTGAAAATTTCACAGACCCGAGTATTAACAATCCATCAGTGTAATTATTAACAATAATCAAAGATAATCTGTCGTGCCACAGTTTGCATTTTGCTTAAAGAACCTGTTCCTTTAACACAAAATGTCAGGCGTGCTCCAATTTAGACGGAAATCAAAATTTCGATCACGCTTGCATATTCCTATTCATATACATATATCCATTCATTACAAACAATTCAGTTGCCAGCCGAACGATGCAGCTTTCAACTATTATTTTATTATTTATAACAGCTGTAAATAGACAATAAATTATTTGAATTTTTTCAATTAAAGCAGAATAAGTGGACATATGCTTTTCAGCACACTAAATAGGGTATATAGGCTTCGTTTAGCAGTTCGGGAAGTTTTTTGTGGCAAGTTGTCTGCCTTTTTTTGTTTGTTACTTTTCTGGACGCCTCTTTTATAACTGTTGTTTTGGCCGCGGAAGGGGTAATTACCAAGCTGGATTCGCGCTTGCGGCCGTGTACATCACAAATTTGAAATCAGTTTCATTATATAAATTGTTACCTTTAGACGATGTGGCAGACAGTTGAACGGCGGATTAAGCTAAAGCGAGACAGACTAACAGAACGACAGTGAGAGAGAGAGGGAGAGAGAGAGAGAGAGAGAAAGAGATGGAGAGCCTATCTCAGATTCGCTTCATTGAACGGCTTGGCTCATTTGGAATCTGGAGCTGTGAAATATTTTCTTTTGCAACGACTTAAATTGGGCTTTAAATTGCCACAATTTGTGGCGCATAATGTCAAAGTTAGTTTCTGTGAGCTGCCCGATAAAAGAGCTGCTAGCCATTCATTCGACTTCAATTAGACTGGCAACCCAAAAGGCTTCCGATACACGCTCTATCCACTGTTCCCTCTATTCCCACCACAGTCCTACCCCCAACCCTCGCACTCATCATGCCGAATGGCGTCTGTTGGACGGCAGGCATAAAGTGTGTCAGCCAGGAAGCCGCGACTTTGAGTGGCATTCCCCAGTTTACAGTTTTGTTTGCCTTCCATCGTTTCCAACGGCCTCCACACCATATTGCAGGCAAGTCCATGTCTGTCCATATTCCCCAGTTTGTCTATCTGCCCGTCCGTCCTTCACTCCCTCAATCAGCCGGACTTGTGTTGACTGACGTTTGCCGTCGAGAATTTTGGCGCTACAAAAGCGCATAAATAAAAATGGTTTCAGCTTTGTTGACAGTGCAGCATGATGAGTGAAAAACAAGTACCAATGCTCTACGCGAGAGAGCTCGACTACGAGTTACCCTGAGCCCAATTTTTTACCTCTTAAAAGTCGTACATGTTTTAGATGATGAATACCAAAAGTAAGAGTCTCTCATAGAGTCTCTGAGTTTGACAGATGGCAATTTCGTCTCGACTTTAAATGCTGATCAGGATTGTATTTACCTTAAAACATCGCAGATTATTACTTCATTACACCCTTTTCAGCCGTTTGCAAGGTGTTCAGAGTATGAGAATTGGTTGGCGTTGCGAATTCTGCATTGGGACGCCATTAGTTAGATGAGCAACAAAGGCGAAAAGGAAAACGAAACGTGCAAATTTGGTTGGATTGCAAATTCACTTTTGTCAGCACAGAACACCGGTTTTATGTAGCACAATCAGAGCTATGTGATTTTCAAACATACACGAGTGAACCCTATCGGAGCGTAATCTTCAAATGAGAATCGCCTTCTGTTAAATTGTTGTTTAATTAAGTTACCAAATTTATAGCTTTAACTTAAATGTTTTATCAAATTCGCATTTATAAAAATATCAAAAAATAAGTTCAATTTTCAGTGCAATAAATTGGTGGCAGAAGCATTGTAATTTCAAATCGATTTTAAATATTTAAGACCACCGAGAAACTGTTTTGAAAAAATGTTTGCATAACTGCTCAAGTTTTACGAAATGGTTAATAATAATCTTGTGCACATTTGGAAACACGAATGAAAAAGATTTTGAGTGATTTAATGTGACCTAGATCAAGTAATGTATTTCTACACATTTATAACTTGTAATTCAACTTTTTTTCTACATTCACCTTCATCTATTAGTCCGAAGCGAATAAGCGAATATTAATGCATTCATCATTCACTTTTAAAGTGCAAACACACATTCACGTAGCTATAAAATAAACACAAATTTTTTAGTAGCCTAGCCCGGTAAGGAAACCTATGTAAAAATGTGAGTTTTTTAGCTTTTATGTTTTGATTACCAATCAACAGCCTCCAATCAAGTAAACGTTTTATCTATTGTGGTATGCATGTACATATATCTTATATGTATTCATACCCACACATTTGCATTTCACTTCCTTTTCGATTGCATTAGCCACTCGAATGCTCGCCCAGCTAAAAGCCACTTAACAAAATATGCTTTAAATGCTTTAATTAAAAACATTTATGCAAATTTCAACTACAGCAATAATAACAAAAACTAACTGCGGCTACAAACAATGCAAGGCAATGGCAGAAGCACCCTTCCCTTACAAATACCCCACCCGCTTTCCATTACTCAAGCAAATCACACCCTTCCAATACATATCCAACACTGCTTGGCACTGCTTGGCCAACACTGCGAAAATGTTCACACCATTTGCTATGCAAGTGACCACAGTTCTCCACCCCGCATCCAAGTTCCCCTCCACACACCTGCTGGTGTACGCGTCTCCATATCTCTCTCTCTCTTTCACTCTTTCGCTTTTTACTCTTTCACTCTTTCACTCTTGCCTTGCCGCTGCTCTCGAGCTCATTATGTTCGAGGCTCTGCGCAAATTATGGGAAACTATCTCGACCGTTGTTTTTTTTTCCTTTTCTTCTTTTGCTCTCTTTTTAGATTGTAATTCGTTGTCTCTTTTGCTAATGCTAATTTGTTTTGCGTCGAACTTCCTTTAGCTGCCACTCCCCCCCCCCCCATTCCCCTTACCTAACAGCGCGAATGTGCATCTTAATTGCACTTTTTCCTGCTGCCGGCAACTAATAACTGGCAATTTATTAAAATCGTTTGCGGCTTGCCTGCACTGGCAAAACCAGCATTAGAGGAGGGGTGGGTAGGGGGTAAAAGTGTATTTAGTACTATTTGGCATAAGTTTTGTACACACAATTTGGATTAAAGAGCAGGAGACTTGACCATTGGGCAGCGAGGCGTGAAAATTTCTCTACCCGAGTCGCTGGCGATTTATGTGAGAAATATGCTAAAATGCCAAACGAAGCGTGGCACAACGACGCCTTCCACAAAAGAAAAAAAGCTACTTGAGATGAAACCACAAGCAACAAATCTGCCACAGATGAGGGTCACCTAAACACAAAACACAAAAGAACCAGTTTAAATTTGTACATTTTGGGTCAACTATATAGCTTGAAATTCATGCATTCGTTATCCAATACCAGCAATAATTGTCAGCATGTTATAGCATGAAGGTCTCTCAGTCGCTCTTGCTGCACACTTTGAAATCTATAATTAATTCGTATTGATAATAATCGAAAAAGCATTTTGTACAGTTTAAAAGTCAACATACAGTTGCAGACTGGCATTTAAATGTAGATGTTTGATTGATATTTTCTAAAATGTATATTAATAAAAAATGCAGTATTCGGGGGTTATTCATCAAGAAAGATGTATGTCAAATATGATAGCAATAGTCGAAAATGCCTGCCTACAAGATACCACGTACCAAATACACAAAAACATGCAATCAGCCTGCCTGCAGTGAGGTTTTAGCATCACACTATATGAAATGGATTTCTAACGAATATATATGTATTTTGTTCCTGTTTATGTTAAACGAGAACATGCTCATAAAAAAACATTATACTAAATACGTATACAATAATATAACACAATAATAATGCTTCTCTGTTTGTACAACAAATTCAAGAACCTGTCGAACCTAATCCTGCATTAGCATCGCGAATCCTGCAACATGTTCGACTGCTTGGGTTCGGGTCAGGGAGCAATACAAAAAATTAAATATATTCTTCTATATATATAAATATATACATAATAATTGTGATATTCGCTTAAAAATCGAATGGAAATGCGTAGAGATTTTAATCAAAAATTCGATGTAATGTTACATTTTTTTTTTCTGTCGAGAACCTTTAAAATTTATCGAATCAAAAGATTTTCTTAAGCTAGCGGGATGAGCATAGAGAATAGCCTGAGTGAAGAGGAGGTCAGCAGAGAAGATACAACGACAACGATAGAAGTTCAGATCGACTATTTGGTAAATAAGTTCGAACAAATCAATGGAAGAAGCATAGCACTTGAGCGAGCGGTAAAGGATTCCAGCATAGAAGATGCAGAGGAGACTGGCTGCTTGATGGATGTGTTGCACCTGCAGATGCTGCAATTGATAGAGGATCGGATAACTCAACAACTGGCACTGGAAACGCAGACATCCAGAGCACAACTTGATCTGGCCAGAGCCCGCCTTCAGCAAGGAACTCACCATGTTGCAGCCTCAGCTCGGTTGCCTAGTTCCTCCAGGCCCTACAAAGCGCTGTGCCGACTTCTGGAACAGGGCATGACATGGGGCAGCTCCCTGAAGCTGCTGCGTTTCAATGTGGAACCAGCTCGAGGCTATCTACGGCCGCTAACACACATCTTTGGCGCCATGGTGCCGTGCAGCTTGCGGCACGCGAGCCACAAGTGGGAACGTTGCATGGAACAGATTGTGGAATGCGTGAATGTCCAGCGGGAGTTGCAATCTGTACTCAGTTTCATTGAACGACTTAAGTGGGCGCAGCACCGAAGGGCCAATGTCTGAGTGCGGCTGGGAGCGAGGAGAATCGGATGTCTAGTTCAAAGTTCAAAACAAAGTCACTTGGTGCCGAGTTGAGCTCTTATAAGGCGTGCTTCCGTTTCGCAGTTGCCGCCGAACTATAAATAGCTAATGCTACGCTTCTGTGTCTGTGTCTTGTACATCTTCCCGTACATCGTCGCTCTTGGCGTGCTTGTAATTGCTTTTAAAAATAATTGATATAAATAAGTTGTAAAAGTGCTACATAAAGTAATTTGCCATTTTGTTTTAAGAGGTATGAAGAAGGTAAAGTTATTAGAATGGAAAAATTAAATATAGATATGGTGTGGGTATCATGTGGGAAAAAAAATAAATTAATTGATCAACTGCAACAAATATGCACTGGTATAGCTTTTGTTTTCATTTTCAAAGCTGTCGTCTGATTCGCTTTCGAAAGTAAATTGCCAATTTTTTATGACTTATTTATTGCTTACATTTGATGTAAGGAAATTATTGGGAAGGCCTGTAGAAAACGCTGGACTTAAAAGTATTTATTTTGGCAATTTGAAGACTTTGGCCTTGGCCGTAGAGTCTAGTGTCGTCTCATCTCAAGCAGGTTCTGACTTCTGCTTGCTTCTAAGATTATATCGGTAATAAAATTACTCGTAAATTATAGTACCCAAAAGCGGAAACGGAAAAGTTTCGCGTAAATTGGAGCTCGCCTGAGAATATGTGAGAATTTTTCAACAGAGCTAACAGATCGCTGTTCCTAGTCGCTCAACAGAGTTCATATTTAATATAAAAATGAAATAATACTACAATAATATAAATGTCCTCAACTTGCTAATTAATAACAAAACTCATAAGCGACTCTCGTAAATATGAGCAATAGATTAAAATGTTAATTGCAGTACTAAATTCGCTTGTGGCTGTTTGCAATGCCCCTGCCAATGCCGGGCATCACTTGCAGTCTAGTTAAAAATAAAATCAAATGCCAAAGCGGCAGCAGCATTGACAGCATTGTCGATTTGGCCAACATTCCCCCTCCGGACAACATCCACCCTTCCCTCCCAATCCCTCATGCATCGCTCAGCAGCGTCGCGTCTCGACGACGACAATTATGCGGCATTTTCTTTGGACCCCGGGCAAGAAACGAGTTTCTGAGATATCTTTGTTTTGTGCGTCGCAGTTGTTGTTACAGTTGCGAGCCGCATTCGCAAGTTGTGCGAGCTGTTTGCGGCAACTACAACAAAATACCAGAAATAACTTGAAAATCCATTAAATCGCGGCCCGGCCGCTACTCGCATAGGGATAAAGATAAACTTTTGTCAACTGGTAGCCAGATGCAGAGGGTTAAGCCTGCATTGACAAGTGATAACAATGTGTCAGCGATTCTCCATGACATCCACGTCCTTGGCTTCGATTTGCCTAGTGATGACGTCCTCCCTAAGCATGGACACCGTGACGAATACGTTGCAGGTTCTGCTTTGCCTGGGTCGAATTGGACTGTCGTCTTTTTCTCCTTTCGTATTTATTGATTTTTCAGTACATGTGCAAAAAAGTGAAAGGCCAGTAATATTTTTTGCCTCTTTGACTTGTCGAACCCAAACAATAACCTGTTTCAGCAAATACTTGCGCAAAAACCAAAAAAGTTTTGCTTTATGAAATTGTTTTCAGCCAACACTTGGGGGTGTTCAGAAGTGAAAATTCGCATTCGCCAATACGAGTCGCTGTTGAAGTGATACAAATCAATTTTTTTGCTCAATTTTCTAATATGCTTAAATTACGAAAAATTATCACAATTTGTCATTGAGTTGAGGCTAGGATTCTAGGCTTGAACATTGCCCAGAAATTTAGTTTATTTATTAAATAAAATCTAGCGATCAATAGCATAATGTCTGCGAATTCTGTGCTCATAAACTCATATAAAATGCTTTAAAAATATTCTTGTTTTAAATATATGAAAATGAATTTTTTAAATTAATGAATTAGAAAATCTAGAAAATTCAGACTATTTTAGACTCTGCGTACATAAAGAAATTAGACATAGTTTTCTAGACTTACAAAAAATGTAGCCTGGAAATAGGCTGAAGGAAAACAGTGGTTTTTGGAAAGATACAGCCTTCCGTTTTAGAAATATACTTTCTGAATAATAAGGTGAGTTACTTTTGGCAGCACAAGTATTCTTTTTGAGTGCACTTCATACCATACTGATATGTATCAGAGATACAAGCCTTGAATTTGCAAGAGCATTATTATAAGTATTACATGACAGTGATCTCTTTGTTTTTACGACATATACTTTTTTCAATAGAACAAATTTCACACACCGAAGAAATCCAGCAGACACAACTTAATTAATTATTTAAAAATTTCATAACATCTGTAAATTGGGGGAATTCGTATGTGCCTTAAAATACTTGTTATGAAAGGTATAAGAATTAGTAGTCCTCATATCGCGAATAGCGTAATAATAAACTGTACAGTTGAATTAATATATCTCCCATATAAATATAAATTCACTTCCTATAAGATCAAATATTTCAAGTGATAGTTGCTAAGGCAGTCATTTAATATGAGATTGTCTTCGGGAATTATATTAAAGACTAACAATATTCAATGAATGCATAAACTTTTTGCATAATTATATTGCCTCCGCTTACAAGCCCCAATTAAAACTGCAAACTCAATCAATAAATTATTTATTGCAATAACAGGCGTCTCTTGTGTTGGCTGCAATCCATTCCAAGTATCTGCTGACTCTTGTATAGACGCCGGGCGCATTCGGCTTGGCGCAGCCGTAGCCAAAGGAAACAACTCCAGCGAGACGGAAGATGCGATCCGGCACAATAAGCGGACCACCGCTGTCACCCTACAAACAAGATTTTGAGTGTGTGAGAAAGAGAGAGAGAGAGAGAGAGGGAGATGAGCTACGAGTTGTAGCAGCCACCCACCTGGCAGGCATCCCGACCGCCCATTTGCACATAGCCCGCACACAGCATCGTGTCCACAATCATGCTCTTGTACGAGGTAGCTCTGCACTGGGCATTGGTGATAATGGGCACTGTGGTCTCCTGCAGCACACTGGAAGTGGAGCCGCCCTCGTGGCTCAGACCCCAACCCGCCACAATGGCCCGCTGATGGTCGAACTGCTGTTGCCGACTTTTGGGCAGGCACACGGGCCTCATCATCTTCATCAGTGGCACGGGCTGATCCAAGCGCAGCAGGGCAATATCGTGCACCAGTGCCACCGGGTCGTAGCCAGCATGTGGATGAGCAAAGGCCACAGACCTAGTTACGCCCACATGAGTGGAACTGCGATCAAGCTGCAGCAGACGCACAGACACCGTCGACATGTCCATCTCATGGACACAGTGTGCGGCAGTTAGAACATAGCGATCATTGATCAAAGTGCCGCCACAGAAGAGCTGCGAAGCGCGTAGCATTTGTGCTATCCATGGATATTTATTGGTACGCACCTGAGTGCCGCCCACAATGCGAATGGCGTTGGGCACACCACAAGCTGCAAGGTTGCAAAGGCAGTTTGAATTTAGCTACCAATGGCAAACAAAAAATTGACTGAGAGAAGCAATTACACGAAGCAATTCTTACCGGGTGCCGGTTGCATGAGTGTAGTAAAATATTTTAATTGATTGTCGAGCTAAACTTATTCGTTAAATACTACAGCTCTAAGTCTGAAATAAGTCAGCATTATCTGTTGAATATTTCACATCAAAATCGTATATTAATCGGCTTTATTTTTGGAATTACTTCGTGTAAAAAACGCTCAAGCATATCCAAAGTCGGTTTTCGCTTCAGTTTAAATTAGGCATTACCAAAATTATACACACGAATTTTTCAAAATTAAATATTTAAAATGAAATAAATATTTAATTAAATATTTATATCCATTAGGTGAATTATAAGAACCATACGCATAAGTAGCTCAAAGTGGCCATCGGTTAAAAGGCTCTTGTCCAACTCACATTATAGAAACTTTTAGAATTAAAAATCACTTATAAGCTCCTTCACAAGCGTGCATATTTTGGTAAGGTCTGGCTTGAAGCCGTGCCGGTCAGACACACAAAGATACTTATTGCGTTCATGTGAAAGCTCAAGAAAATAGCTTATGGCTTGGCCGGAACTGCTCTTAACTGATACTCACTGCAGCTTGCGCAACGATTGACTCGAAAAGCTTTCGCATCGCCGCTCTCAAATGGCGACAAGGCGGCTTCCAACGGCGACGACTCGCTTTCGGTGGCGGAGGCTGAAGCGGAGGAAGAGGAGAGAGATGAGGAACTGCCACCCAGAACATTTGACAATATCTGTTGCTTATGCCCCTCGATTAGATCTTCAATGTAATCCGATTGAATGCCCGGCGCTGGCTTGGGATAGTGATAGCCGCGAAATGGTGGCTTATAAACATAGTTGGCAACACAAATGGATAAACTGCCTATGAGGAACAGACAGAAGAAGAACAAAGAGCTGGATTCGGATTTCATCGCGAGAACCGCACTAAACGAGTGCTAAAAGTCAACTGTCTGCGGAGTTGTATCTTTAACGTCTCTTATAGGCCAGATGTGGGGATTTTGAGATATAAATATATATAAATATATATATAAGCCATTTAAGTTCATTATAGCTGTTAGAGTGCCAATTAAATTTTTATCTAAAAATTCTAAATTTTTGCATATTTTGCACATTACATTTGGGTCCACATTTGGTGGCAGCCTTGTGATATCACTTGACCCAAATTGTAATGCGTAAAATGTTGAACTCATTTGTCAATTAACTCGTGTCGATATGCTAACGACCAAAGATAAATAACATTGCCGACTCAGATCCCTAGAAACTTTGACAGCTCCAAGTGGCTCAGATCGGTCAATATCAAAAAATTATGTTAATTGTCTTCAGCTGCTTTCTATTCTAAAAGATTTTTACAAGCACTCGTTAAAAAATATATTTTTTTTTTTCCGTGAGACTTATAACTTTATTGGCAAGGCGTTTGACCCACTAAATTAACCCCATAATGGTCTTTAATCATTTCGACTACTCACCAAACGCTGACCTCAAAATGTCCGAACTAGTATTTAACAAAAGGTGGAGCCCCATGTATGATAAGTAAAAAAAAGGCTACACATGTGAGGCGCTCATTAAGCAATTGAAGTCTACATTTATAAGCCGACGAGTTAACCACACATCGAATGGTAATCAAATAGAACGGAGAGGAAAGAAGAGTAAAGTGAAGTTGACCACAGCAATAATTTATAATTGAGTGATAAACAGTAAAAATAATACGAAAACTGGCTGAAGCAAACATAAAGTTGTACTTACTTATAATTTAATTTCCAATCAATTTTAATATATCCGAAATAAGACTCACCTGAAAAGATTAATAAATAATAAGTATTTAATAAATATATTTATACATAAATAATAAATCTATTTTTATAATTCATAAATTAAATAATAAATAACCAAACGGTGCATAGATCCTTCAGATATGTAATAAATCTATATAGTACATAGATTTAAAAAGTAAAAAATATATATAACTTAATGGTATTTAAATCCCTCACTAGTCCACTTAGAGCTTTAACCTTTCTCTTTATTTTATTCGAAAAAATCACAACTGAAATGGGTTCCACATGAGACAGCAAAAGTTATCCAACTGGAATCGGAAGCGCCCCAGGGAACGCCCAGCAAATCAAAGAATGAAATACTCAGACACTAAATCGGAAACAATCATAAAATCAGAAGGCTAACAAACAAATTTTTCCCAGCTGTCTGGCAAATGAAAGTAAATTAACCTAAAACGACCCAAACAAAATTGAAATGCTAACAAGCCGGCTATCAAAATTCTAGAGATCGTTAAGTGAAAATAGAAAGTAAAAAGAACGCAGCAGCCGAAATGCAGACGAAGCACACAAAATGTAATTGGGTCAAACAAATGAAGACACAGATAAAGGCGCATAATCGAAGAAAACATGAGATGCCCGCCCTAAAACGCCGAGCGGGGGAAACCAAGTCTCTCAATGCTAATCTCTTGGCCTGTTGTGCCAACACAGCGAGGGCTCAGGCACCAAAAACCAAAAAACCGAACCCACAACACAACAAATGACACAAGGTGCACACAAGAAGCACAAGAAGTCGAAGAAGAGGAAGAAGCTAGGTGTCTGGTTGCCAGGTGAAAGAGCGTCGCGTGTATTTGGGTTAGAAGCGAGGCGAGAGCTGGCTGCCTCTAAATAAATAAGCAGCAATTCAATAGATGATGACACAAAACCACAAACGGATAGTTGGACATTTGGACAGATGGACTGAGAGAGACTGAGTGGTCTGGAGGGAGTTGGCTGCTTGGCTTGGCTCGATGTTTTGCAGAAAGAAAGTCTTAATTTGTTATTTATATGCGTTCCGCTAGAATCAATGGAAGAAAGTTCTGCAGCATCCCAAAAACAAAAGGCAGCCCGCAAAAGCAAAATGCCAGCAAACGAAAACTTGTTTCTCATTTTTTTATTTTTTATTTTTTTACTTTTTTTCTGAGAGAGTCATGCTCTTGAGGAGGTTTGCGGCTGGCGTTTCTCTTTCAGAACGAAAGACTTAGGCAACAAACTTGAGCGCTGACGCTGCCCATTGAGAAAGACTTAAGCAAGAAACTGGTACTCGTAACTTGAGTCTTCTTCATTGAGTGGCGGGGTAAAGTCTGGTTGTCTAGAAATCAGCGCCTGGCTATTTATGGCCGGCCACCTTGCTGCAGTTGTGTGTGTGTTCCACTTGCATTAAACTGGGTCATTGCACAGAGATGCAACAGCCCAAGAGCAAGTGGACGATGCATCGAGTGCATCGATGGCTCAAAATGGATGGATGCACGGATGGACAGATGGACAGATGGACGGATGGGCAGTTTGGGAGGTGGGACGGACACATATTAAGGCCGTCTCTTACAGGCATACAGGCCTGTTATTATTATTGTTGCTTGCATGTTTGGCATGCGCTGTCAGACAAATTTGTTAGCAATTATCGGGTTGCTTTTGTTTGTTGCTTGCAATTTATTTACTGTTATTTTTTATTTATTTTTTTGTTTTCGTAACGAAAAATTATGATTGTCACTTGAGCTGTGCGCTCAGCTGGGCTCAGGCAGCGCTCAAGAGCTGATGAGGAAAACCGCTGGCAACTCGCAACTTTCTCAGGCTTCATTAAGTTTCACTTCGACTGGCATTTTCAGCAACTATTTTGAGTATGGCACGAATTTTGTTTATGACACGAAATTGTTTTATGGAGTTGTTTGTCATTTGTTAATAGCTTTTGCACATCGTGCATTGCATTTAATTAAACTGTGAGCGCCGATTTGTTAAATGCGAGCTATTTCATGCGATTCACGAATGCGTTTTGTACAAAAATTAAATATATTAACTTGAATTCAAAACTATAACTGTAGTGCTTCGCAAACAAGGAAACTATTATTATATTTTAATTTTTATTTGTTGAAACCAAGTTCACCGTTTCGGCTTTCAGTTCAGGTTTTGTTTTTACTTATTTCAGAATTATCATCCTACGTATAAAGTATTCTCCAACAACTGATTGCAGAAAGTATTATTAGCATTATTGTCGTGTAAAGCATAAAGTGACCCCCTATGGGGTCAGAGTATTATGTATAAAAGATATATATATTCTTCAACTGTTAGTGTCTCTGTTTCTATGCGAACTAGTCTCTCAGTTGGATGCTATCTAGATGATTGTATTCAAATATTTTTTTCAGAAAGTTGTGAAAGAGTAAATCAAGCAAAGATAGGCCAATTTCTGAACCTGTGGAGTAAAATTCACTTACTATATTAAAGGCCGCTCAGAGATTTACCGGAGATATGTTAATATTGCTAGTTTAATTAAGGGAAATGAGAGTTACAGCGAGAATAAGATATATTTAAGGCTCTATTTTTTCAATTGGTCAGTTTTGAATATAAAATGAAACATTGATGTGTAATCTTCAGCCTGAGGTAACTGATATTTCTTGCTTTGACCTAGCGTAATGAATTCTAACACCTTCAAAAAATCTCTACCTACACAAGTAAATATATATATAGCTAAAGTCCATAAAATACCTGAGTGAAGTTCGGCGCTGAAATCATTTGTTTGGCGTCGGTACAAAAGCACAAGAAAAAAAAAAAACAAAAAAGAAACATGACTCAATAAATAAATCATATATAAATATCTTTGTCTATATATGCAGACTGGGCCACCTTCAACTCCGTTTGACATTTGAAAGTAAACAGCAACAGCACAAAAGCAACAACAGCGAATGACACTTGAAGAAAAATATGCAAAATGAAACGTAGAAATAGCAAAATGACAGACAACAACAACAACAAAATGTAATAAAACGAAAACTAGTTTGTCAATTGAGCAACAACAAAAACAACACAAATCACTCTCATTTTTTTACTTCAACTCTTCATTTACTTATGCTGGGCAAAACTGCACAGAAAGCAACTGTAAATAATGAGAAACAGTAACAAATGAAAAAAGAAAAAGAAGCAAGTGAGAACGTTGCCGACTGCATAATACTCTGACACCAATGTAATACCAGCTGATAACTGCTGGCACATAGTCAAGGTAGAGGTAGCCAAGAAATCTTTTGTTACCAATCTCTTAAGGAGGTTTCTAATAATTTACCATCAAAGTTTTATAACTTTAGCTCATTTTTTTAAAGGTGTTACTAGCAATATATACTTAAGATGCTGTCACTCTTTTGATTAAAGCTTTAAACGAAGTTATGTGTTTCTGTCGATTTGCAGTTATCGAATTTATCGATTTACTAGCCTCCCAATTTTGGCAAAACTTGTCTGATGCGAGCACAGAAAAGTATATGTAACAAATTTCAAAGGAAAAGTAGCGTTCAAAAGGATGGACAGACGGAGAGATAGCAAGACGGGCATTGCGCAAAACCAATATACTCTTATGCCATCGGTGAAGAGTGTAAAAAATGTAACTGTTTAGCGCTTTTGGCTTTGGACTGGCTCCGAAGCGCATTGACATCGACGCCGCTCCATTTACGGGGCAGCAACAGCAGCAGAGCTCGTATTACCCGACCACCGCCGTATGCCTTTTGTGGGTTCTATGTGGCCCGGTTCGTCGTCTGGTGGTGCTTTATATGCACCACACGCAATTGTGCGGTGAGGTAATTAATAAGCCACCAAACCAATTGAAATTGAGCGTCGACTCTCGCACCGGGCATACCAAGTAGGCACCCGTATTACACGTAAGTATATCTGACGATGTACTATGTACGATATACTATTACGGGCACAGACAAGCACGGAGTTACTGACCATACTCAAGACGAGTCTCGAGTTGGGCTCTTGTAGGGCTTCGCTTCTGATTTGTGCACAACTCAATAACAACAACCACAGTCAGGGGAAGTGGACGTTTTTGGCCAACAATTTTTGCACCAATATATGCTCAAATTATATCGAATTATATTAGCATTAAATATAAAAAGCAACAAGCA